ATTGACGCCAAGGATTAAAATTCTAAGGTGTGAATCCACCCTTGTCTTTAAATTGACAAAGAGTGTTAATTAAGACAGACTTCATCCTTTGTACTCCAAGTGATACATTGTTCCAAATCGTCCTAGCGTATGTAGTTTTCAACTAGCTCTATCTCATTGCTGTACAACTGAATAAATGCGTGTTCACCATTAGAACATTGCACACTGGTATACCGTCTACTGCTTGATGTATCTACAGTCTATCTGGTGAGATTTAAAGATCCTATACTGTTTGTGGCAGTTTTCCCCCACAATACGTATACATTGTGGTCCATTGAATGCCGGGGGTTGTGGATAAGCAGTATGTGAAGTTTGTAGTTGCAGTGTAGGGGAATTCAAACGATAACACACTAGTTACGATACCAAATATACAGTAGTTATATGCGTAAATAGACGCGAATAGCGAGTTAATTAGATGTACCACTGATGTACATTACAACGAACAGACATAATTAAGTGGATCAGTCCGTACGTCATTAGGTAGTGGGGAATTCCACAAACTTCAACACCACGTGCCTTATCCGGCTTTCCAGCTCGAATCTTATCAACACTTGTCTTTCAGAGCTACTAGTCGTGAAAACGATGCGCCAGATAATTTAGCTTGCATGCCAATTATCCCATAAGTGGACTAGCGGCTGTTAAACCATTCGCACGGGACAGATTTGCTTAACGAGTTTGGATTATGTGTATTCCCTATACAGTATAAAAGTTGATTGCAACCGACGCTAGATGATAGTCAGAGAAAGTACTGTGTTGTTGACAGATTCCGATCAATGACGATGGAAGCACATTAAATGATTTTTCCTAGATTTAATAACAAACAAATACAGCAAAAATCGAATAAGATTACTGTCCAACTTTAACCCGTGATTTACTCCATCACAATTCCGTTGTTTTTTTTCCTTAATTCATGCTATATACGTCAATATACCACAATGTTACCTGTACTATTGAATACCCACAAACAACGTACCCCGAACAGATTTATTATTAGTGTATTTTAGCGGAGGAAACGGCTTTTATAACAACTATGTACATCTACTTGATCCACGTAGAGTGCGATACTTCACACCTTGAGATTGTTAATGGCGAAATTATTTGCACTTACGGTTTACATTGTGGCAATGACCTATAAAGAGGTAGAAAATTACACGTTATACCTTTATTCAGAAAAGTGTAATTAGCAAACAATTGTATATGCTCACCTTTCCTCAGAAACCCCATAAACTTGTTTGATATATTTTCTTTTCACTACATCACTAGAAATTGGTAGTGACGTAAAAGAAGGATATAATTCAGTTTGTAGTCCTTCTTAGCCAACTTCAGTTTTCTTTTCTTTTTAAAGCTGATTTTGCAAGAGATATCATGTTGTGGGGGAGAAACAGGGTTACAATATTTGATGCAACCAAATAGAAAAGGATCACAGTGCACATATGCAAGCGCCATTTTTCTGCTAGTCAAATATCACAACCATTTACTGTATCTAATAGAAGCACAGATTATAAAGGTTGCATTACTTGTAGATTTATTTGTGGTTTTGGGATAATTTTATTTTAGTTTTTGATAGTATGAATATTATCAACGTTCAACTAATACCATCAAACACTAATAAACGCACCAATACATGCAAACATATCAGAATGCAACTTTAGTTTTTATTCTATTAAAACGTGATAGATTTCTGCATTCTGGCATACTTAAAATCTATGTCAAAGCAGAGCATGTACTATTGTAATTCAATGAGGCTAAAGTGTCCTACTTGGTGATTTAATTAGAGCCTTTACAAATAGCTATATTGGCCATTGGTCGAGAATCGTAAAAGCAGATTATGTTACCTGAACCTGTCAAATATGGGTTGTTTGAGTTCAGTTCTTGCACTCGGTATGTGTAATGCAACATACACATATTGTTAGGGCGATGGGTATGGTGCAGACTTTGAACATTATCTAGAATATTGTTTTAATGTTTGTGCGAATAACAAAAACCACACACACTGAGTTGCCAGAACTATGACAATATGTATATGGAATTGTTCTATAAGAATGTCCTTGGTAACAATGACATTATTATTACACTTTCATTCAGGTATACCAATGACACTGCGGCTCATGTAAGAGGTAAGACATCTTTCTATTGCAATAAAATACCCGTAGTGTCTATCAAAACTTATTTCTGCCCCAATTCCATGTAACTCTGATGTATTCATCTTGAATCGGATGCATCTAATATCAGGGTTTTACAAGTATGTAAATGCGTGGCAGTATAACATACCGGTTACATGCATGTACATTCAAGGACGAAAGGGATATTAAACATTCCGGCTGATAGATGCTATTGAAAGAGAGTACACTCATTTCAGTTTGACTATCGTTTATACAATGTGTGGATGTAAAACTTTGTTGTTGGTTCATACTAGAACTTACTTTAAGTTTATATCAAATACGTTCTACAGTTAATAAGCTAAGTAGAGGATAGATAAATTTAGCTTGGTTTGCAGCACAATTTTGCTTTTGAAACGTATTGACGCTCATCCATTTGGTTTAAATGGTTTGGTTAATCAGTGTAGTTTATCATGGTCAATTTGTTTCTCTTAAATCTTCTATTTAAAGGTTCCTGTCGTTAGTAATAATGGTTTAATGGTAAATCAAGAATGTTTAGTCTGTGGGATTGTCCATTTTTTTCATGTGTTATAATTGTCAGAAAGTTTCAGTATATTTCGTGCAAATAGTGTCTTATGTTTTTATTTACTACCGGCGCAATCCAGTCGTTGACTTTACCTCCAGCGTCAAGAAATAAAATAGAACGCGATAAACTGTAATTGATTAGCGCTTTTGTGTGTGCAATCCTGTTCAATTGTTCGTTTATGAGACGGCGCCTGTGATAATTTGAAAGACACGTTCCGTGAAATAATGTTCGATTTCAATTAGAATCGAAGTATGAATGCAAGCTATGATTTAAATAGGTCGATAAATCACCTCCAAAACCAGCAACATCAGAGAGATGCACGTTCATAATTACATTAATATTAACTTCCTGTAATACAAGGCGTTTCAAAAAGCCATGAAAGCTTTTTAATACATTTACCCCAAAAGACCCTTGCGATACATTCCAATCGAAGACTTTTGATAACCTTATTACCGATGAGTGTATCTCTCAATCATGCCTTGCGTGGAGCATATTTCCTGCCAAACTTATTCAAAACACTTCAAACTAATCGTTTGCAGATATATATTTCGAATATTATAAGTAATATCGTGTCGCAATAGTTCAAAGGCAACAATTGCCGTAGAGTAATTCTCTACGGGGGGTAGTTAACCGCCAAGGCACTGCGATTGTTTTCAATATTCATTTGAAGGAAAATCATTCATGCCTACACTAAACGCTTTGTACTAACCGCTCTGAAAAGCAATTAACCAATACAATAATATCTTGACGGAAACCGTTGTCATAGCTTTTTCGATATTGTTCTAAACAGTCATGCCTGGTCGCACTGTGAAGTATATTTAATGACGGCAATATATTTATTGCTCTCAAGAAAAATGTTTTTTTTTCGTAAAAACGGGTGTGAAATTAGACCAAGAATGACTTTGCTCAAGGAGACTTTATTTATGTGCGGTATTATTCGGTATTGTTGAGTTCGTCTAAAGCATTTCTACACCAGACAAGATTTATATTTAGCCGTATTGAAGCACTACAGTACTCACATGTCTACACTTTTAGTATGTATCAGTGACGAATCTGAGCTCAATAAGAGTGTACTTATAATATTGTGCCTGATTGGCTACCAAACTCCATCCAACAAACAGTCAGACCAATCAGAGAGCAGTTTGTTTGTTGTTAGTTTTTGATTATACGTATCAAACTCAACTGCGGATCTGTTTGTATTGAGATAATAACAGCACATGCTTGACCTAAATGATACAAATGAAGCTTTCGCTCTCTCTCACTTCTTGTTATTAACATATGCAGTATCTATACACAACATCAAGGTGTTTCACTGTACCGTCCAACTAGTCATTCAGCTAAGATCAAAGCTTTCAATGGAAAACAATGTCTTATGTAGATTTCCCAAAATTCAAACCTGATTCAGGCTTCCCGGTAAAATAATTTGATACCTCAAACGGGGAGTTTTGAATAATTCAATCCAATTACATTGAAAGTTATAGAACAGCTTACCGGACATCGGATATCTTGCGTATTGTATGATGTGTTACTTGAATATATATATATTTGTGACAAATGTGTGTTACCCTGTTAAAAAAAACATCAGTAAACCAATTACGGTGATGACCAGCGTCCCTGGTAATATTTCATATCCTGGCACCATACTATGTACATTTTGTTTTGTTAATTATATTTTATTTATTCTTGTATTCATGTATTGGTTTCAGCCAATAATTCTTAATAACATATTGATGTATTCGCCCTAGGTGAGTACCTCGAGCGAAAATAAAAAATCAATAAATGATTGATTAAGCTATGTTTAATTAATTAATGACTGATGGTTATTGCATTTCATAGTCTGGGCGACATGCTAAGTCTGCAAGCATTGTCATGTGATAGCACATAGTGTGTGTATATAAATATGATTATGATGACTTTGACAAATATTATAATTTCACCCATTTGTTAGTAATAATTAAGATAAGTGTTTCTTTTAAAACTAGAATAATCACTATAATTCCCTTATACCTTATCCCAAATGGCATGATAATTCGTTGAGGGAAACAATTCTTTAAAATCATTGTGCAATCAGTAATTTATATGTGGACTATTATTAGAAGTTACTCTTTTCGTAATTTGTCAAAATGCCCCGAAGAAATCTAACAACTCGTTATTTTCGAATTGTATACTAAAAAACAACGCTTTTAAAAAATATATAACAGGTTCTGTGATACTAATAGAGTTGAGGATAATTTTGTGATCTACTGTCCACAAAACAATAAAGCTATAACGAAGATGTTTAATGCAACATAAACCTAAAATCGCCTTTTTATTTTATGTTATATTAACTTCAGATATATATTATGGGCAACACACAAAAAACAACGTTTGAAATATGTTTTTATCTATATCAATATAGTTTAAATAAAAACTGTTACTTACTAAACACTTTTTTATACTTAAAATGTTTTTTATATCAATATTTGACTATGTTACACTCAAAAATAATAATACATTTGTTATTATAATAAGTGAGATAACTACTTCTTTTACGCCACAATTTAAATAGTCTAATTATTATGTATAACATTTTAATTTGAGCTAAAGACATGAGTTTGTTTTCTTTAATGCAACAGTGAAAATAATGAAACAAAATTTCGTATAAAGGTTCCTGTCCATTTGCATCTACCAATTTCACCCCCTTTTAGACCAGACGTCAATGTTGTTTAATATTTTCTTAACTGCAAACATTCAGACATTTAAGTATTAAGAGATAATTGCTCCAAGCATAACATGGCGTAACGCTCAGAGTCCATTTATACGTTCCCTAGATAAAACGTTTTCATGACATACCGACAAACAATTGGTGTCAGTTAATGACCTCATATTTTTTACTAAATGCAATATCTTTCGTAGTAATTACAATGTAGAGTAGAAATAACACTAATTGCAAGTTAAAATAATAAACGTACTTTAAATAGCATCTACATAGTATACGTGTGTTATTTAGTTTGTAATGCACATCCAAATAATTCGTACAAACTAGCATTTAACAAATGAATGTGACTAAAGCAAAGCAAGTGACAAAAACACTACACCACATATAGCCAAATCAGTGAGAGAAGTGTAAATTGACTCCATGGTACACATGAAGTAATGTTTCGAAATGAGTGAGCACATTCAGTTCCACACATGTCACCAGCTAATATCTTTCTGAATTGTAATCAAATGTATTCTTCGTGAAACTTGATGTCTACAACAGTGTTATTGAATGTAACCACAAGCTCAAGCCTGTTAATGTCAGCTTTTCTATACAGAACCATTAGTTTAATAGTTTTGGCGAAAAAAGATATTAAATTAAAATATCTGCTTATGTACTACATCTTCAGTGCAGAATTTTGGGTAGAATCATATCCAACTATTTTGTATTTGTAGCCATGTAGAACATTGTTTTATTATAATTTGTTCTTAACTTGTAGCTTTATATTTAGTGTGTAAGTGTTAATTGAAGTCACATTTAAAATTATCTTGATTCAATGTTTTCAAAGGTTCTTCAGATTTCAACATTTTAATTGAACTGCTTCTGGAAAGTATTACATCACAGTGTTTTTGAACCCCTCTCTTTGATGGTTGACAAAGTAAATGCTTCTTGGGTGAACATTCATATGATTCAATGATATATTTAGCTTTGTATGCTAATTTATGCTAATTTCTTTCTTGATAGGAATGTTTTAGTACATTTCATAAATGAGTTGTGAGTATCAAGAATCACATTATTGCTAAATGTTATGCGTTTGTAAATAGAATTAACATTTCCAGTAAGTTCAACTTATTTAATAAAGCCCACATATTATTATGTTGGTATAACAATTTAACAAACGCCATGCAGCTGTAAATATTAGCGACACAGTATCACTATTCTATTTCGATTTTTAATCAGCGCGTAAGTTATGTGAATAGGCGTATGCCATTCGGTGAAGTGTGTTTTAAGAATACTAATGTGAAAACACTGCTCAGTCAGGATAAATATTTAATAAATGCTAACGTTTTCACGGAAATATATGCATGCACCGGCACGAACGAGCTATTGAAATCACGAATTGCGTGTTCAAGAGGGAAGATTTCTAAGACTATATCCGAGGGGATAAATACATTAATGTACACAGAAATACTTTTAAGGGGCGGGTTGTAGTTACATTCATTTGTTAATTAAAAATGCTAGTTTGTGCGAAGTATTTGGATTTGCATTAAACAACTAAATAACAAACGTATACTATGCAGTTGATATTTAAAATACATTTATTATTATCACTCGAGCTTACCTGCATCATGGGTACTGTAAATATATTTTGTTTCCTACTGGGGTTTGTCTGAAATACCATGGGTACTCCAAGTAGATTATTTCTATTAGAGCTTGTGCCATGGGTAACGAGAATACATGTACTCTATCGGGGTTTGCCGGTACTATTATGGATACTCTAATATACATGTACTCTACCAGAGCTCGTCTGTAATACCATGGGCACTGTAAATTCATTTATTCCACTACGAATCTTCATTAATCGCATAGGTATACTGGATTTAAATGTATTTCACTTGGCATTGCCGCTACTATATCATGGGTATTTCAAAGACATTTTAACTAGTAAGGCTCGTTTATAATATTGTGACTAATACACGGAGAGAGAAAACTGCCACATAACCTAATAACGATCGCTTTGTCATTACTTCTGTCAAACACAAAATGAAGTATCTTTGAAAGAAGGGATTTACCGGTTTTATAATAGCTATCACGTCACATTGGGTGATGTATGTCTTTTATTTTATCATTTAGTATTTTTAATATAATAAAGTGATACACATCCTTGGCTAGTGTTTTTTTTAATTAAATTCGCTGTGACGTGGATTGCATCGTGGAGCAGAATACATAACTGACATACATAGCATGGTTGTCTGCAAATGAAATAAATAACAAATGACAAGATGAATTACTCAAGCACCAGGTTCATCACCTCTCTCAACCTGGGATACAGCAAATGGGCTTTGCCAGCTCACCTTCACAGTGGATGCAACTACTAGGCTTCATCAGCATTCTGTGCCTGGGATTCATCGCCCTGGCTTCGACACTTCTCTTTCTCACCCAGGATTCGGACACCAGGCTTCACCAGGTCCCCACTATCTAACATCACCAACCTCCTTTCACCCAGAATGCAGCTACCTGGCTTTATTCCAACCTGGGATTCAGCCACTTGTATTCACCACCACCCCACCACCTGAGACACAGACACCAGGGCTCACTACCTTCCACGTTGACTGCAGCCACAACGCTTCACCCCCTCAACCTGAGATTCAGCTACCTGGCTTCACCACCTCCCTTCCTCACCTGGGCCACGAGGCTTCTCAGGTTCCAACCGTATGGAACGAAACCTTATAGCATAATCATACGCAGAACACAACCTTCTGGCACCACAAGAACCCTTCATGCAGGATTCAGCAACCTGGTTTCACTAGCGTCCTCCACCATAGATGTAAGAATTATGACACACCAGTTCTCCGCCTGGAATGCAGCCACGTAGCATCACTAGCCCGTCTTCGCCCGGGCCACAGCCACTAGCTTCGCCAGCCCATTTCACCTTGTGTGCATCCCCCTAGCTTAACCAGCTCCCCCTCGACCTGGTATATAGCCACCTGGCTTCACCAGCCCGTTTACCCGGGATACAACCATATGGCTTCACAGTGGCGGATCCAGCAAAATGTATTGGAGGTCCAAGCTACGCTTAAGATATACGGAGCGTAAATCGCAGAGAAGCTATGCGTAATCCAGATAATATAAATCGTCATGCGTTTGGGGGTCATGGCCCCTTGACCCCCCCCCTCTGGATCCGCCACTGTGGCTTCACCGCCTCAAGTAGGACAGCCTTTGCCCCTGTTGGATCCGACTCACTCATGCTGTCTGATTTTTTCTTCATTAAACTGGAATGTGTTTAGAAATGAATGCCCATATAAACTCAACCACATCACGGGGGAATAATAAGTAAATCCTTGCATGGCAGATATTTTAATAATACCCTGATTATGGTCTGAGGAAATGTATACGGTATATTGGCGACAACGTCACAATATGCGCATAAATATTGATTACTGGAATTTACTATTGCAAATATAATCAGCTTATCTCATGTATTATGATACTATACCCACGTAATAATAATAATAATATTACTTCCAATTATACATCCATAGTATTGAAGAACATATTTTGCATATTTTTACAGTCAGATAGAAACTTTTGAAATCTTGAAATCATGGTTTGCGATTTCAAAATTAAAGAGGGTCGTGCGCACTCGCGGGAATTGAGTCCCAAGCGACGATGACAACACACGCTAAACACGCAAAGGCTCATGGGTAGCCGCTTGTTTGTAAACAATGACACGCTATGGCCATCTGATGCATGAGCAGGTGACAAATCCCCTACTTTAAGTAGTAGTATTCGTAGTTTTTCAGATGGGATTATTTCATAAAAGACGCGCATGCGTGACACACAACTTCTATTTATCCGAATCTGAACATGTCTGCACACGTAGCTTTGTTTGTTCATTTCACATATGTTCGGTAGTTGTTTTCCGCAAAACGTGTTAAGGCCGCGAATTGAACATACACCCAAGTTATAAATCCTGTTGCCAATGCATCCCGATATCGTAAATATAATTGAGGCTCCAAAAAACGGCGATCATTCATGCAATCGAGACATGTCGTGCAGTGTCTTGCATATACACTCGTTTACGACTGTTAGTGAGAGCCGGGAAACGGATATATGGAATGAGTGGGATAAAACATTCTGGACACATTGATTAAACTGATTTTTTTTTTCATTTGTACTTAGCATAAATCTGACCTAGTAAGGCCACTAATGAAAAATCCTGATTATATTAATTGTAAACACAACCAAATATGAAATAAGACTGATATATATCTACCGTCCCGCTCTGATTACTTGCTTGCTGCGATTATTTCTCCTATAGGGTATCTCTCTAATATTAAGTGGCTGCTCTGGTTAATTGTGGATGAGTTAATAACGGAAACCAAAATTTCAGTTGTAACAGTCAATCTTATTTGAAAATGGCCGCCGGGGTCTCGTTGAGAACGAAAACCACGCGTGACTTGTATTTGCCCCCGAAATAGTGTTCCCCATCTCTTCCGTCATAGCGTCCACTGTTCTTCTGACCATAGTATTTAAAACAGTAAACGCGATGACGTCTGAGCATGTAACACTATTTGAAGGAGGGGAAGAGGCAAAACAACTCGCGTGGGTCTCTCGCTCTCGACGAGATTTCGGCGGCCATTTGCGAATAATGCCTATTACCCATTCATATTTACTAGTATTTTATACTGGTAAATGATACTTGCAAGTTACATCACTGAATTTCATTATATGATCATCATATATAAAACAACTGGGTCAATAATATTGAAATGCACATAGCACATTATCATTTTTTTCATAATAGTAGTTTACCCATAGTAGGGACCAAAACATTTTTTGTTAGACTAACTGTGTCAACACTGCATATAGTGGCTCTTGTGTTTAACTGGAGTTAAGGTAGCGAGACTATTATTTGTGTTGAAAATAACGATTTTCACATCTATTTATTAATTGATGAAATGCACTATAAACTTTCATGTGATAAAGTCAATATAACATAGAATGTCATGTAAATCTTAGTAGTGTTTTTTTCAAAATCAACAACACAGGTTTAATCTGTGTGCCTATAAGTTTCAAAGATAAACTCAAGACAAGCAATATTAGGATGTGTTATCAGTAGCTTTCTGACACAAAATGAGTGTTTCCAAACATTCGTGTGGTTTGTCTCCGCCCCTGTTTGTTTCACAGATTAGTCATTTGCATATGAATGTGTCAGACACAAGGTCACACAGCCACTGAAAAAAAAATAATGATTTTGGTGTTCTCATCTGCCGATTTTATCGAATTATAGCTATCCCATTACTTTATTTTTTGGTTTCCAATAGCCTTACACATTTGGATGTCCATATACATGTTAAAACAGACCTTGTAGGGAAAACAAATCGATTGTGCCGATAAACAAGCTTGAAATTCTTTGCTGTGACTTCATGGACATTTTTTAGTAGTTTATTTTTTTCAAAATACCAGGTCTTTAACAAAAAATAATGTATAATTATTGTCGTCGGATTAACACCAAATTTTCACAGCTTTAATGTGACAGTGACAATGGGAGGAACTTGAACTGTGTCCAGACAAACTATTTTGTGGATTATTTACCAACGTGTTGTGATTTGATATATGAGCAATGCGATTAAAACGGAAATTAAAATTCAGCACAACTTGAATAAAACTGACAAGACACATTCAATTTACCAGACTATTGAACAACTATGAAAAGTGAAAAACAAACTTCTTATCACCAGCATAATTGCGTAATTATTATTTTTTTTACAGAAAAAGTAATTTGTTACCTTTGATTGAGTAACGCGTCGTAGTATGCAGATACAGACATGAAAAACACACTTTTGAAGTCTGGCGATTCCAAAAGCATATACTTTCCTAGATCTTTTTGTAGTCATTTACTCACAATTAGAAGATGAAAACAAGTATGCAAATAATAGTCTCGCTATATTAATTCAATTATATATTACAACAATTACAAGCTACATGCTAATTTGATTATTGCTAATATATGATGGGTGCCACCATCGTCCGATTCGCATGGCTTCGCTGGAGGCGACCATCTACGGTCGTTCCTACGAACCCATAAGTGATCGTGTTAGGAATAGCTGTATTTGACCTCAGATGAATTGAATAATTCGATTGGGCGCGCCAAAGAGCTTGATCCATCAATCATCCATCGTTCTTGTAATAACAGCTCGCGTCGATTTCATATCTAAAGATGCAATAAAATAGTACTACATGTACTAAATGTACTATATTTAAATGGGTTTTGTTGTCGCGTATCACGCCCTAGCTGAACTGACAAAAACACGCGATTTGGCGCTCGATATCCCATGGAAACGCATCACAACACTTACAAGAGCATGCAACTTTAAAGCGGGGGAGTCGTCACCTGCGCATGCGTCAAATGGCCAAAACGTTTTATTGTTTACAAACAAGCGTCTACCCATGAGCCTTTGCATTTTTAGCATGTGTTGTTATCGTCGCTTGTGACTCCCGCGCGTGCGTAGGTAGGTGACGACCCTCCCGCTTTAAATGTTTTTTCATTTCGTCGACAGCGAATACAGGTTTGTACTGTGTGCGACTGTCGAATAACTGAAACTTGGGTGGAGGAGACGAGGTGCCACATGAGCTCACTCTATTCGATTCACCTGACATCACTTCATGTATGCCATGGAGTCCATCTATCTTTTACTTACGTATTTGAATATTTAGTGTAATGTACTTACTCATTGTATGTCTGTATGTTTTCTTAGAATTTTAAATTTCATTCAGTTAGTTAGTCAGTCAGTCGTATGTAGGGATGTAGTAATGTGATTTTTGAAGCCAGTCATAGAGAATAACTAGTAGAGCTACAGGGGCCACTGCAAACCTGGGTGAGCTAATATAAGAATAGTCGAGCTAGAAATCATTGAAACACTAATTAAGTTAAAATCGCTAAACTATGCGAGCTAGGAATCATTTAATCACTAAGAGAAATGGGAACCATTGACAAGAAATCATTGAAACATTAATCATGCTAGAAATCATTGAAACACTAATCGTGCTAGAAATCATTGAAACACTAATCGTGCTAGAAATCATTGAAACACTAATCGTGCTATAAATCATTGAAACACTAATCGTGCTAGAAATCATTGAAACGCTAATCGTGCTAGAAATCATTGAAACACTAATCAAGCTAGAAATTGTTAAAAAAACTATGCGAGCTAGGAACCATTTAAACGCTAGGTGAATTAGAAACTGTTGGAAAAACAACCGAGCTAGGAGTAATTGAAACACCAGTAAAGATAGAAATAATTGAAACGTTAGTCAAAATAGAAATCATTGAACCAATAGACTAGGAACATTGAAACTCTAGTTGACCTAAAACAATTGAAAAAACTAGTAAAGGTAGAGATCACTGAAACATTGGACGAGCTGGGATCATTGAAACACTAGACGAGCTAGGGATCATAGAAACAGTGGTCGAACTGGGAATCTTAGAAACCTTGGTTGATTTAGACATCATTGAAACTAATTCCTTGAATCATTGGACCACCAGTGGAGCTAAAACACTATTGATACACTATCCAGGCTAGGAATCATCAAAACACTGGTCGAGTTATTGAAACACTGGGCGAGCTGGTAATTCTTGAAATACTAGTCGAGAAAGGAGCGACTGAAACACTTGTTGAGATAGAAGCCAATGAAACACTAGTCGAGAGAGGAGCCCCTGAAACAGTAGTCGAGAAAGGAGCCACTGAAACATTAGTCGAAAAAGGAGCCACTGAAACACTAGTCGAGAAAGGAGCCCCTGAAACAGTAGTCGAGATAGGAGCCCCTGAAACAGTAGTCGAGAAAGGAGCCACTGAAACACTAGTCCAGATAGGAGCCACTGAAACACTAGCTGAGAAAAGAGCCACTGAAACACTAGTCGAGATAGGAGCCACTGAAACACTAGTCGAGATAGGAGCCACTGAAACACTAGTCGAGATAGGAGACACTGAAACACTAGTCGAAAAAAGAGCCAGTGAAACACTAGTCGAGAAAGAAGCCACTGAAACACTAGTCGAGATAGGAGCCACTGAAACATTAGTCGAGATAGGAGCAACTGAAACACTAGTCGAGATAGGAGCAACTGAAACACTAGTCGAGATAGGAGCCACTGAAACACTGTACTAGTCGAGAAAGGAGCCACTGAAACACTAGTCGAGAAAGGAGCCACTAAAACACTAGTCGAAAAAGGAGCCAAAGAAACACTAGTCGAGATAGGAGCCACAGAAACACTAGTCGAGAAAGGAGCCACTGAAACACTAGTCGAGATAGGAGCCACTGAAACACTAGTAGAGAAAAGAGCCACTGAAACACTAGTCGAGAAAGGAGCCACTGAAACAATAGTCGAGAAAGGAGACACTGAAACACTAGTCGAGATAGGAGCCACTGAATCACTAGTCGAGATAGGGGCCACTGAAACATTAGTCGAGAAAGGAGCCCTTGAAACACTAGTCGAGAAAGGAGCCACTGAAACACAGGTCGAGAAAGGAGCCACTGAAACACTAGTCGAAAAAGGAGCCACTGAAACACTAGTCGAGAAAAGAGCCACTGAAACACTAGTCGAGAAAAGAGCCACTGAAACACTAGTCGAGAAAGGAGCCACTGAAACAATAGTCGAGAAAGGAGACACTGAAACACTAGTCGAGATAGGAGCCACTGAATCACTAGTCGAGATAGGGGCCACTGAAACATTAGTCGAGAAAGGAGCCCTTGAAACACTAGTCGAGAAAGGAGCCACTGAAACACTGGTCGAGAAAGGAGCCACTGAAACACTAGTCGAAAAAGGAGCCACTGAAACACTAGTCGAGAAAGGAGCCACTGAAACACTAGTCGAGAAAGGAGCCACTGAAACACTAGTCGAGAAAGGAGCCACAGAAACACTAGTTGAGAAAGGAGCCACAGAAACACTAGTCGAAAAAGGAGCCACTGAAACACTAGTCGAGAAAGGAGCCACTGAAACACTAGTCGAGAAAGGAGCCACTGAAACACTAGTCGAGATATGAACCACTGAAACACTAGTCGAGAAAAGAGCCACTGAAACACTAGTCGAGATAGGGGCCACTGAAACACTGGTCGAAAAAGGAGCCACTGAAACACTAGTCGAGAAAGGAGCCACTGAAACACTGGTCGAGAAAGGAGCCACTGAAACACTGGTCGAAAAAGGAGCCACTGAAACACTAGTCGAGAAAGGAGCCACTGAAACACTAGTCGAGAAAGGAGCCACTGAAACACTAGTCGAAATAGGAGCCATGGAAACATTATTC